AATACTATGTTATTTTCAAAGACAAAACGATAGACATGTAGACAGACACCTGGGAATTAAGTAGACAGCTTGACTTAGAGATAGATATAGACAGAGAGATAGACAGATAGACAGAAAACATAAACAGAAAGAGCAAGACCCGAAGGAATAGTTTTTTTCATTATTATCATTATTGTTAAATTTTCTTTTTTATTATTATTATCATTATTATCATTGTAATATTTATTTTTCTATAATCATTATTATCATTATTATTATTATTTTATCATATTATTATTTATATTATTTATTATTATTAATTATCATTATTATTATTCATTAATTATATTATTATTATTTATATTAATTATTATTATTATTAATTATTATTAATTATTACTATTATTAATTATTATCATTATTATTATTATTATCTATTATACCATCACATCATTCATAATTAACTTTATTATCAAAAGCATTATTTTTTCACAAAGAAAACTGCATCTTGTATCCTGTATATCCAGCTCATGAATGTTAATGCAGACACCTCGAAAATTCTGTTGCATGTTTATTGCTGTCTCTTGAAATACCTTTTGCAATATTTATTGAAGGGGGTGGGTGGGTGGGGCTGGGGCTGGGGGGGTGGGGCTGGGGGTGGGCTGGGTGGTGGCAGGGGCTGGGGGCTGGTGGAGAATGGGATTAGGGGGTGGGGGCTGGGGTTGGTAGCCAGGATGGGTGTGTGGTTGGGGTTGGTGGCAGGGCTGGTGGCTGGGGGGGCGGGGGCTGGGGTGATGGCTGGGGCTGGGGCTGGGCTGGCTGGGGGGTGGGGGTGGGGCTGAGGTTGATGCTTGGGGCTGGGCTGGGGGCTGGGGGCTGGGGCTGGTGGCTGGAACTGGGGGGAGTGGGGTTGGGCATGGGTGGTGGCAGGGGCTGGGGCCTGGGGGCTGGTTGAGGAATGGGGTTGGGGGGTGGGTGGCTGGGGTTGTAGCAGGGCCTGGGGTGTGTGGGTTGGGGTTGGTGGGCTGGGGCTGCGGGCAGGGGCTGGGGCTGGCAGGGCTGGGGGCTGGAGGCTGGGGCTGGGGTTGGTGGGCTGGGGACTAGGGTGTGGGCTGGGGTTTTGGGCAGAATGGGGTTGGGGGGGGGGGCTGTTTGGTAGCGGCTGGGGTGTGTGGTTGGGGTTGGTGGCAGAGGCTGCTGGGGGCGGGGGCTGGGGCTTGGTGGTGGGGGTGGGCTGGGCTGAGGTTGGCTGGGGCTGGGGCTGGGGATGGGGGCCTGGCTGGGGCTGGCTGGGGCTGGTGGTGGCTGGGGGTGGGCTGGGGGTGGGCTGGTGGCTGGGGGGCTGGTGGGCAGGTGGGCTGGTGGCTGGGGGCTGGTGGGAGGGGTTGGGGCTGGGGATTGGGGCTGGTGGCTGGGGGCTGGTGGCAGGGGCTGGGGCTGGTGGCTGGGGGCTGGTGGCAGGGGTTGGGGCTGGGGGCTGGGGCTGGGCTGGGGGGCTGGTGGGCAGGGGTTGGGGCTGGGGGCTGGGGCTGGGGCTGGGGCGGGCTGGGGGCTGGTGGGCTGGGGGCTGGTGGCTGGGGGCTGGGGCCTGGGCTGGGTGGCTGGGGGCTGGGGCTGGGGGGGCTGGTGGCTGGTGGCTGGTGGCTGGGGCTTGGGTGGGGCTGTGGCAGGGGCTGGGGCTGGTGGCTGGGGGCTGGGGCTGGGGCTGGGGCCTGGGGGCTGGTGGCTGGGGCTGGTGGAGGGGTTGGTGGCTGGGGGCTGGTGGCGATGGGGGGGTTGGGCGCTGGTGGCTGGGGGGTGGTGGGCAAGGGGGTTTGGGCTGGTGGCTGGCGGTGTGGCAGGGGCTGGGGCTGGTGCTGGGATGGTGGGCAGGGGTTGGGGCTGGGGGCTGGGGCTGGGGTTGGAGGGCTGGGGGGCTGGGGATGGGGGCTGGGGCTGGTGGCTGGGGGCTGGGGTGGGTGGCTGGCGGGCTGGTGGCAGGGGTTTGGGGGCTGGGGGCTGGGGCTGGGGGCTGGTGGCTGGGGGCTGGGTGGGCAGGGGTTGGGGCTGGGGGAATGGGGCTGGGTTTTGGGGCGGGGGCTGGGGCTGGGGCTGGTGGGCTGGTGCTGGTGGTTGGGCTGGGGCTGGTGGCTGGTGGCTGGTGGCTGGCGGCTGGTGGCTGGTGCTGGTGGCCTGCGGGCTGGTGGGGGCAGGGGTTTGGGGCTGGGGGATGGGGTGGGGTTGGGGCTGGGGGGCTGGGGCTAGGGGCTGGGGTGGTGGCTGGGGAATGGGGCTGTTGGCTGGTGGTTGGGTGCTGGGGCTGGTGGCTGTTGGGCTGGGGGCTGTGGCAGGGGTTGGGCTGGGGGCCTGGGCTGGGCTTGGGGCCTGGGCTGGGGGCTGGGGCTGGGGCTGGTGGCTGGGGGCTGGTAAGCCACTGGGGATGGGGCTGGGGCTGGTCAGGTCTTTGGAGGGTTGGTATGTTGGGTTTTCTGGTCTTTTTTAATAGTTTCATCACCCTCATAATTACAATTTATTCGTGATA